CATTTTAAGAAACCTTTCCAGAGTCTCCTATAAATTATTATTTTTCTGGAACAATATGCCTTTCATGAAGTTAGATAGGTTTTGTCACAAAATATAAGACCCTGAGAAGTTTTCATTTTCTGTTAAACTGCTTTAGAAGTTCTGTTCACATTTGTTCAGGTCACTTTCTGGCTTTATGCTTATCTAATTTTGTGAAATGCTTTCATAAAGGAAATAATTCATTAATGGTGGTAGCCTTTAGCACAGGCCTAAATGAGGAAGGGAAGTCTGGGTTCCCTGCTGCTGGTGATGGCAGTACATAGGAAATCCTTGCCCAATCCTCCCACCCAGAACTTGGCATGGACGTGGTCAGAGAGCAAAAGGTCAGAGCCTGGGGAAGCGCTACATTGAAGGTGATTACGATTTATTAGGGCTATACACAAACAAATCCTCTGCACTAATTAGGGAGGCTGGCAGAGGAGGGGGTAAATTGCAGCTTAAAAGGGAGACAGGAAGGTGAACTGATAAAAAGTCTCCCTGACTAGCAGCTTGCAGGCACTGCTGTCAACACTGCCTGTTTTCTGTCCCATGCTGAACTACCAAGTTAAAATCAATGCTGCCCATTGCGTGTCATGGTCTCAACAGGACCCTCGTTCCAGCTGTCATCTCTAGAGACTTTATTCAACAGGAATGAACTTGAGCAATACAAAGACAGAGGAACAATAGGAACATTCCATAGAATTCTCAAAATGTTCATCCAGAAGAAATTACAGGCTGTGTGACTTTAAATTACTTGTAGACTGTGTCTGTAAAGTACTGCTACAGGGAAGGATCAAGGGTTTTCAACTGAGCAAAAATGATCCTTTCTCAGACTATTTCCTTTGGCATCTAAATATTCCTTTGTCTTATATTTGGAGCGACAGAACCAGGTTTTCCTACTTTCCCTGAACATCAAATGTCTCTGTGATGGAAAATTGTCTTGTTTAATCTTTTCACAGTGGCTTACTTGGTCTTTGGCTTTACTGGTTCACTCTTGATTCTATAGTCTCCATCTGTAAAGCACACTCAGTGTAGCACTGTCTTAAATTTTGTCTGCTCTTCTTGTTACTAGGAACACAATTTCATTGATGAATGTTTATAACACAGCTTGAGGAATTTCATCCTCCCCTGGTAAACTGTGTAGGAGATTGCCTTAATGGACAAAGAAAAATGTCTGCTGGACTTTAGCCAGAAGCTTGGACTTGCTTATAAAGAAAATACAAGTAAAACCTTTTGTTGCTGTGTACAGAAAACATATTTTTAAAAATATTCACCTCTCTTCTTACAAAACAAAATGGAACCAGTGAAAGATTTATGTGATTTTCACTATTTTCTGTCAAGTTGCTTAGTTGTGACAAGTTTAATTCCACTTCTTGATCAGATATCTTACAAGATATCTGTCTATTTTCTCCAACAAATACCTCTAACTGGGAAAATAAATTACAGATGACTGTGAAAAAATGAAGACAACTTAAAGTTAAGAGAAGAAAAAAATTGTTATATGCTTCATTTACAGGTGTAAGGAATCTAATTTGAAACAGCAAATTGAAAGTTAAAGCCCAGTTTTAACTTTTCTGAATAGGTTACTTGAGCAAGACTTGGGATATGAATTCAGCAAAGCCATGATGTTAGTTTGATTTATGCTTGTTCAGTTTGTTTCATCAGGGCCTGAAAAAAGACTTTAGGGTTTGAGCTGTTCTGAAGGCTACGTGAGAGCGGGTGTTCCTGTGCTTAAGTTAAATTCCCTGTAGAGCAGTTCCTAACCTCTGCTGAAGAGAAGCAGAATCACCCTGTGTTGTCTGGCTAATCTGTTGTGTTGCATTTATGGTAAAGGAAATATATGTGCTATATTTCACTGCTTGCTGAAATAACCTGTAGATGCCCAGCAGTTTTAAAGAAGAGTTTCAAACAGAATGTAAGCATAGCTGAGCCAGCAGCCAGAATGCACTAACGCCTTTCTCAGCTTGAGAACAGTAATTTGGAACTATGAATCACTCTGTGTTTATTCCCCTCACTCCCTGGTGGAGGTTTAATGCCCTTAACTATATCCCCATGAAAAATGTTATGTGTCAGGAGTGGAAAAGCACAGTAGTCCCATGTAGCTGATGAAATGATTAAAAGTCAATGGGTCCCTTCTGCCAGTGCATCTCAGAAAAGGAAGAGAGGATGCCTTTATTTCCTTATAGCACCTCATCCCTGCTGCTTCTTCTGGGTTGGAGAAGGATGGATGGTCTTTTGGCTGCTGGCATTGCCTGAGATGCTCTGGAATAGGAGACCAAGTGCTGTCTGCTTCATTGGAGCAGAGCCCTGGAGAACCAGAATTTGTCTCCCACATTTCTAGAAAAGACTACCCATCCAAAGTGGCCATGGGAACTTGAACATACTCCCACCTCTCAGGTTCACAGGTTCCCTCACTTTCCCTACTGAGCTGTCAAGAAGCGCAGAAAGCACGTGAGCTGCCGAGAGAGAAAGCCAAGTAAGACTGCAGGGGAAGCAGGCAGCTTGGGATCCTGCCTGGCTTCTCTCGGAGCCAATGTGCTGCTCAGAAACCTGTCAATTACAGTTTGGGTTTGTTTTTTTTTTCCCAGTGGAGAAATTTGCTGTCAGAAATTTCCAGCCAGCTCTGCTGTGTGCTGCTACTGCTGCTCCAAATGAGAAAGCCAAAATGGCCCAGAGGGCCTCACACAGGGAAGGTGCAGGGCCTGGGGAGCCCTGGCATGACAGCAGGTCTGCAGCCCTGGCTGCCACAATCCAAGCACGAATGCACTTCCGAAATGTCAGATGTTCCCTCCAGAATTACGTATGCACATTCACTCCAGTGTGACCGCCAAAACAGTGCATGTGCCTCGCCAGGGACTTCAAAGGCTTTTCTACAACACTGTTGTGCTCTGATAAAAAGTTCTGCTTCTTATTAGAGTCCTAGTCCTGGTCAATATTCTTTGAATTTAAGAGAAAAGTGAATTCTTCTGATTTTTTTTTTTTTTTTGGCATAAAGAAGGATATGCCTTTTTACAAATTAAACTGTTTAAGAACTTGCATTTTTTTACCTTGCCTGTCTGAAATAGCCAAGCTGGACAATGGTGTCTATCTGATATACACAGAACTACAATAATTACAGGGTCCAAAACTATTACCACTGAAGCTGGACTCTTCAAATGAATTGGGACAGTGGTCCTGATGGGTAATATTGTAGAAGTGTTACTATGACTGGCTGGCTCAGCTTATACAACAAATCAGTTATGTTATTTTCTTAAATAATAACTCTCCATGTACTACCTTTTTCCATATATTAGAAAGTGAAACATGATGAAAATATCTGCTTAGTGCACTAAGTTTTTTACCTTCACAAGGTTTTAGAAGTAGATATTAGTAAATAAAGTAGGAGTTAAGTAGTAATTTGACTGGTTAACTAAAGTGCCTAAAATGATGCTGTTTCTAGCTCAGTTTGAACTAATTTTTATTATGCATTACAGCTGAACAGTGATTGTGGTCTTAGAACCATCACAGATAGAGATGACCATTGCCTCAGGGCAATTAAAATATTAAAAAAAAAAGGAAAGAAAGATGCAGATAAGCAAAAATGCATTGAGAAACCCATATTTGTTTATAAATAGTGGCCAAGCTTGTTTGCTGCACCAGACTGCTGTTCAGTACAACTCTAGAGGAGAAGGCAGCCAAGATAAGCAGGGAAGTCGCCACAGCTTCGTGATATTCTGCTCGTCCTCCTGTTTCAGTTCAAAATAGACTGCAGGACATTTTGCCAAAGGTTGTAAATAAAGTCACCCTTTTTACTACCAAAGAGATAATGAGTATCACATGGGCTGGCCTCCCATATAATGCAATCCAATACGTGCCTCAAATAATTTCCATGACAAGGATGTCTTGCAAGTGGCAGAGGTCAGTATACCCTAGGCACATAAAGGGCAAGACTGAAGTCTACAGACTGGAGCAGCTGGACAATTACTGACACTGAACTTGAAGAGTTGTTCCCTTTTCAAGGGGCCTTTCTCCCCAGAGATGTTACAGAAAACCTATAGCTGTGTACCCTGGTGACACATGTAAATTCAAGAGGTAGGAATCCAGGTCATGACCACCTTTGTAACAGAAACAAGCTCTCTTGGCATTTAAAATTTTACAGAGACTTTCTCCACCTTCTTTGTTTCTACCTTTACTTTTCATTTGTGGTTTTTCTACGTCTGAGCATTTGTTCTACTGCTTCCCTTTCTCTTTGGGTTGTTTTATTTTGGGGTGGGTTTTTTGTTTTGTTTTGTTTTGTTTTTAAGACTTGAAGGACACACCACTCTGAGCTGAATTTTTCTTGTTAAGGGACAATTTACACAGAGGCACACCATGATAATTCAATCATTCGGATCTACACTAGAAACAAGAGCATATACTACAAATATATGCTGCTCTCTTAACTAGTCCTGAGATCTGATAGTGTGCCTCTGGTACAGGTATAGGATACAAGGTGTTGTCTTTCCTTTCTTAATTTGTATCTCTTGCACCCTTTCTCCTACAACAATTGCAATTAGCGATGCAATTCCGTAAGATGAGCCAAATCAGTCACTTTTCTCCTTCAGCTCCTGGCCACGCCGCTCCTGCCTTTTTTCTCACAAAGGGCTTTGCTTTGAGCTGATTCAACCCAGCAACCTGGCAGAACAGTGACAACAAAACCGCGGTTTTCTCAGCCAAGGCAGTGAGCTGAGCTATCTAATGAATGCTGGATTCAAGGAAGGATGTAAGAGTACTGCTTTGGATGGCAGCAGGAACCCGTGGCAGGCCGCTGCCACCCGATCTCTCCAAATGCACCCGCGAAGCACCGGAGAGGCGAGGAACCCCGGCCATGGGCGTGCTTTAGGACGTTTCCTTCCTTCCCTCGTATCCAGGGGCGTATCCAAGGGCGCCGCCGGCTCTGGCCCAGCGGCAGGGAGCGAAGGCTGAGCGCGACCCGCTCCTGGCGGCCGCGGCGCTCGGCCGCCACCCTGTGGTGCCGCTGGGTGCGGCCGCGTCTGAGGGCGCCCCGGAGAGGCGGAGGACGGGATGGCATTCCCTCAGGGACAGTGACCCGTGTGGCTGCCGGGCGCCTCGAGAGCCTGTGGTATGTGGGGAGATACTCGGGGACCCGGTGGGCTCCGCGCCCCTCCTGCCCCAGAGGCATGCAGGCCGTGTATGGCGCAGTGCACGGTGTGGCTCCTGTGCCCTGCTGTCCCGGGGGAAACCGTCCCCTCACGGCCCTGCTGAAACCGGGCAGCGACGCTGCTTCTCACGCTGCGTTGCCAGGCTGTTGTGTAACCCGGCTCCTCTGACAGCTCGAGCCTGCAGGCTGTGCCTGCCCATGCCTAGCACGGACCGCCTTGCTTTTGTGCCAGGTGTGTGCTTTGGCACGGGTACGCCTTCTCCCCGCCTCCCCCCGCCGTGTGTGAGCCCCGCTGCCCCGCCCCGAGCTCCGGTGGCAGCGCTCCTCGGCAGGAGGCGGCTTTGGGATCGGACAGACCCCTGCCCTCGGCAGGAGGCGGCTTTGGGGTCGGACAGACCCCAGCCCTCGGCAGGAGGCGGCTTTGGGGTCGGACAGACCCCGACCTTCGGCAGGAGGCGGCTGTTGCCGCTTTGGGCTGAGGAGGCGGTGGCGGTGTGGCCGTGGGGCAGGTGCTGTCCTCAGGCCGCTGTGTGGCCTCGGGGCAATCTTTGGGCCACGCGTGCCTCAAACCAGCCCTACAAAAGCTCTGCTGTTGGGAGGGAACCAGGCTGCTGGTGATCCATGCGTGGCCTTGGAGGCAGCCAGTACCTGGCTTTTGCCCTGACCTGGTGTTGCTCGATGTGCACAGTCCCACCTTGCCCTCCAAACTCCCACTTCCAAGCCTGCACAAGCAGTTCCAAACATGATGGCCTAGAGGCATAACTGCATCATGGCAGTGGCATGATATTGTTTTTTAGTGAAAATATCAAAGAATTTTTAAATGTTGTTGCTCAGCATTGGTTTGCAGCCCTACACAAATGAGTAGACTGTACCCAGAGATGAAACAGATTTCCTATTCTGCACATTTACAAATGCCGTTTTCACCCTCATTTGAGATAATGCTGCAGTAAGTTAAAAAATAAGCAGGTTTTTTAGCATTCTTTCTGTATTTTGGAATCCGGTTCTGATGCTAAATAGTGCAATGGATACCTTATCTACACCATTTGATGCCTCACATGCTGTTGGCTCTTCAGAGTAACTCTTGATTAATGTCAGACTTGTTCAGGGTGTAGTGCTAAATTTTATGCATATTTCAAACTTCTTGCTCAGTAGGACTTGTAGCTGTGTGAGGAATACAGATCTATAGACTCCTTTAAAAGTGTTTTATATTTAAAAAATGCTTTTTAAAACATAGGAATTTGAAAAAAAGATTGTTTCACAACTGGAAGATAAACCATATTTTAGTATATATCAAATCTATCATAATACTTTCGGAAATTATTTTTTTTTGCCCTTTGGAAGGGCAGGGCTGTATTTGACTCTTCTAGGTTTTTTGGTTGCTTAAGTCCTGCTTTCGCAATCCAAGACTATTGAGTGAAATATAAAATGTTTCTTTTATGAAAACAGATGATCTTGAAAAGCTGCTTAGTAACCTGGTAAAGTGGATTATAACAGTATGCAATAGAAGTCTGTCAAAAATTCTATGTGCCTGTTGACATACAAATCTGTATTTCTATGTGCTTTTGCAAACTGGAAAACAAACGCAAACCGAATAAAAACATGTTTCAGTTGTTTGTACAATTTCTTCCTAGCTCTGGAATCTTACTCTGTTATTATCAGAAAAAAAAAAACACCCTGGTATTTCAGTTTGACGATCAAAGCATGTGCCAATGAAAATTCTTCTAAAACAACTACTTTGGCAAAAAATCTGCCTGTTTCATAGAAATACTGTAATGTTGCCCAAGACACTTCTCTATCTTTTCATTAGATAGATGGATTTTTGAAATTGCATATTGCACAGCCATACAGTAGCTTTAAATAGTGTCTCCAGAATGTCCTGGGAGGGATTTTGTTACTTCTGCTAGAATGCAGTTCAAAGTTCTGGACCACACTGAATTTGAATTCCCCATTGGAACCATTGGATGGTTAGCCTAATGCATTAATCACACAAACACAGGTTTTCTAAATTAGAAAGAAATGTGCAAACATTTAAAAGGCTATCATTGCAATTCTTGACAATGACTCAATATCTCAACTTTTGCATGTGTTGCAGTTGCTGCTGCCTTTTTTCCCACAAGATAGCAGCACTGTAACTATGAATGAGCAAAGCACTTGTGAGTCTATCTCACCAAAATTCAAAAAGCCCATCTGGTTTATTTACTCTTTAGGAATCTGCAGCTCAGAATCACAAGGAAAATTTCTTAAATTCTTCCCAGGATAGGCTGCAAACACCAATTAAAAGATTAAAATCTACATTTACATTTTACTTTAATATGTATCTCTTTATGAAAAAGCACATCAGGTGTCTTGAAACCATCTGCAAAACTAAAATGCTGTGTACGTAAATATATTTGTGTGAGTGTGTATGTGTGGGTGCATTGCATACAGTAATAATCCTGTTACTGCATACAACAAAACCCTTTGAAGTAGTTAAGTGTTTGTTTATGCTTCCCCTTCACTCACCTGGTTTCACCACTTTTCCTCATGCTTTTAGCTGCACTTACTGATTGTCACTGTTCAGAAGTGCTCCCACGATGAAGGAGGAGCCCCTTTGCCAGCACTCAGCAATTGCCAGCAGGAGCTGAGCTCCCAGCCGTGTTCACTGCCCTCAATGGCTGTGTAACCCACATCAAACTCCCAGTGTAAATATGTGTGTAGACATAGACATAGAACCCTTTGGGTTGGGTCAGGTGTGCACCTCGCAGGCAAATCTCCCAATTGTCCCAGCTTGGCAAGCTTTGCGTGCCACGTACCAGGCATAGAACACCTGGACTTTGGGAATATCCATTGCAGAAGTGCAGCAGAGGCACTGCAGCCACAACCGGGCACACAACTCCTGTGATCAGGCTGGAGTTGGCAAAAGTTAACCCAGGGCACAGCATGGATGTCATGGCATCAGCACCAGCTGCTTGGCCCAGAGACTCACTCCTGTCAGACCCCACTGCTTGCTGATGTACACAAAGCCTTAGTGGCCTAGATGGAAACTTGAAATCAGAAAGGAAATTTTTTTTAAGATCACAAGTGGTAGCAGAGAAGAGGGACAGAAATGATGGAAGAACAGACCACATCACCTGAATGATGATTTTTTAAATGTGAAATTGTAGATATCCTAGGGCCATCAGGCAATATTTACTGGAGTACAGGAAGAGGCATGCTGCCATTTGCAGGTGGAAACAGTAAAGCTCCTTAAAATACTTCAGTATGCTCTGAAATGGCATATTTATAGAGAAGCTGGGAAAAGGGACACTTTTCATTCAGTAAAAGAAAATACAGTGGGTGATGTAGAATATAATGTGCACACACACACACACATTTTTATAAAATTTGATTCTTTTTAACTCCCAAGGAACATATACATATACACGTAAAATATATTTTTATACACACATATTATTTATGACTGTTCATATATGTTTCCTCTTTTTACCCAGGCACTCCAAGGACAATTTCTTTTTGTGAAGAAATCAGGCAGTGCCGCGAAATTACATCGGATGTAACCTTGCTTATTTTTTCGTATTGTTATCAACACAACATATGCAAACTCTTTTGGGCTGCCAACTCTCATCTCTTACATCAAGGAAACTGAATCATCTACCTTGGCCTACAAAAATTAACAGAGCTTGTATAAATATATTTTGATGATGTCCTTGAGATTTCTGGAGACACAAAGAAGCAGGAACAGTACGTACATTTTTTCTTTTGCTGTTTGAAAAGCCATGCCATCAGTGACCATTTGTACTTAGCTGAAATTGCACCACTGCATCCTATCAACACAATAAATAAATAAACAGATGATTGTGAGTGCAGTTGCACTAACGAAGCCAGGTTTCCTATGAGGTTATAACTTGTAATTCTGTTCACTCACATCTGATAAAATGTGAGCTCTGCTTTAGCTTTTCCTGTTCTTGCAAAATGCTTTTCTCCTGTGTGGATTCTCAGTTTTGCACCAAGGGATAAGCAATCTTCCCCACAGCAGTGACTCTAATTCAGAAATTTCTTCTTTAAAAGATCAACTAATTCAATCAAATTTGTTAGAGTTTCTCTGTTGACTTTCACTGAGACTGGCCAAAGATTCAAAAATACTGGGGTGGAGGGAGAGGTACAGTTACATTTGCATGCATGGAGACAAAGGCAGAGGCAGCCTCATCTCCCCAGGGAACTGTGCTAAGCAGTATATCTTTATTTCAAGAAAACAGAAAATATCAGTGTTCTATTACCCATTTCCTTTTAACTTTAACTGATTAATTTCTCACTAGGGGCACTGGACAACTGTTCAGGCCAAAAGCAGCAGAGAATACTGACAAGTCCAACAGAGGTAAGATATAACTTTATTTTTATATTTTTGCTATTTATATAGCAAAAAGTTCAGAATAATTTAACCAAACTTTACAGAACAGTGACTTCTGATTGTTCTGACATCCAGATCCAACAGAGGTAAGATATAACTTTATATTTTTGCTATTTATATAGCAAAAAATTCAGACTAATTTAACCAAACTTGACAGAACAGTGACTTCTGATTGTTCTGGCATCAGGTTTTCTGGCAGGCTGGTTGCAAGTCTGGTCAAAGGTATTTAAGCTTTCACAATGTTTGGTGACATATTAACAATATTTGACTTTACGCCTACAAGACAACTGGTGAAGTAATAAGTATGAACTGCTACTATCTCATTAAAGGTTTCTGTATCTGTTACAAGCAATAGATTAATCTCTTGGGAGTGGGGAGGGAGGGGCATTTCTGAAAGAACAGCATATCATGAAAGAAAATGGACAGAAGAATTACAGCTAAAGAAAATTATGAAAATAGTAAAATACAAATGCCTTCCAAACAGAAGTGAAAGCACCAGTAGATTATACTTACCTTGTCTGGAAACAGAATGCATCCATTACTTACTATATAATGCCTCTCTGATCCATTGAACACAAGCCCTCAATAATGTCCTAACTTTTCTAATATGACACAAAAATCTTGTCCAAGTTCAAAATTTCCCTAAAGACCAGTAAACTGCCTGTCCTGGTTTTACAAAAATAGTGGTGTAAGAAGGCTGGTGCCCTGTGCAGGTGTGTCAGTGTTGCAGCACTGGTGTGCTAAGTTCATTCCTGTGTGTCTGCCTGGGGCCAGGGGTGGAGGGAGGCAGGATGATCACAAGGTCTTGCCACTCCAAAGTGCTGGCCTTCTTGAAACTTCCTGGAGTGGCCCTTCAATACTTCAAAGAGTCTACAAAAAAGAGGGAAAGTGGCTTTTTACTTGGGCAAATAATGATAGGATAAGTAGGTTTAGAGTAAAAGAAGAGAGATTTCGATTAGATGTTAGGAAGCAATTCTTTACTTAGAAGGAGGTGAAGCACTGGAACAGGTGCCCAGAGAAGCTGTGGATGCCCCATCCTTGGAAGTGTTCAAGGCCATGTTGGATGCAGCCTGAACAACCTGTTCTAGTGAAAGATGTCCCTGCCCATCACAGGACAGTTGGAATTTGATGATCAGCCTTCCAACCCAAACCACTCTATGATTCTACAATTCTATGTTCTTGACATATTCTGTCACAACTGGCTGAAATTAAGCTCCATGTTCAGCAGTTAGTGGGTGGAGAAAGTGTCATGGTATGGCTTGTCAGAAGGACAACACACGGACAACCTGGGGGCATAAACTTTGTGTTCTTAGGAAATAAGGCTGAAAATACACTAAAAATATTTGGGGCTAACCATTTTATAACAGATGGTTGTCTGGACTTGTTTTTTAGGACTTCAGGTACAACGTTTTTTTTCAACTAGGAAAAATTCATATGCAGAAGAATAGTACTTTACTAAAAATATTTATTTTGGTTTTTTTAGAACATATGTCATATTTGGGCCAATTGAATTATGTCAAATCTAGGTAAACTGATGTTTAGTTCTCCAGCTTGGAAAGCTGCTGTGTTCCAGCAAGTTTCTAAATATAAGCAATAACATCTTTGAACCAGACAGGTGACCTGATTTTCATAGTTGCTACATATCCAGGCAGCTGTAGATGGTAGCTCTCCTGGGCCTTTATTTTTGAAAACAGTTCTCCTTGTCTAAGGCCTGCAGCCTGAGACAGTCACTTTGGAAAATCTTCAAAAATACTCACTTAGCTTTTTGCAGCCATAATATTTTATTATTTTTTTTTCAGCTCTGTGCTATGTTTGCCCTCAAATTAATTATCTTTTTAAAATCCTTTCCTGTTTTAATTGGCTCATGGAAAGATTTTGGCATAATATACTGAAAAAAAGGGAAAACAAAAATTAAAGTTTTTCCAACACATTTATATTACCATTCCTGAATACTTGAAACACTATCAGCATACGGAGATTTATGTTTTCTTGTTCCATTTTAAAACACTGAGGGATTTTGTATCTTAAAACCATTACTTATAGTGAAATTTGTTAAAATAATTGAGTTTAGTGAGGTTTCTATAAAATTGAAGAGATTTCCATCCTTTGTTTAAAATTTTCAAATTACAAACATATGAACAGATTATGCATTTTGTTATTATATTGTAACTGGGAAACCTGCAAAATAGTGAAACATTCATTTCTTCATTCTAACAAATTTCTACCTTTGTCTCAGATTGTAGTTTGGTCTCATAAGGGTAATTTCATCCTCAGGATCTTAATGAAGAATTATTTTAGAGCTGTAATTGGTTTAAACTAATTTTTTTTTTGCAATAAATAGACATTAGACTGGTTTACTGATTTGTACTAAGACTGGAAAATCTTGAGTTCTTGGTACCTGTTTTGGGTTCTTTTTTTGTTTTGAACAGCACTCTGCTCACTTTTTAAAGGCAATTAGTATGTTTTTTGAGAATTGTGTTCCTTGTTTCTGATTCATATGGTTGAGGACAATTTCAGCTGCTGAAGAGCTTCTTCCGTTGCACAGACACAGTGATTTCCATGATGGTTTCCTCAAGCCATCACACAGAACAACACGAGTTTTATGCTTGTAAATTGTGACAGGATGTTGTGCACAGGCTCTCCACAAGCCTTCAGGAAGACAAATGGTGAGAGCAGGTTGTCTGTGGTGATCCTTCTTCCATCCGAAGGGAGAAACAAGAGCCAGATCATTTTGTCATAAAGGGCAAAGGAGAGTCTTGTGAGAGTCACCAATTAAAGTGATCTCAGATGGGGCACAGGAGCAATACCTCCCACACTCTGATAAATCCAAGTTCTGTGCCTCTACTCTGCTCTGGTGAGATTCCACCTCCATTGCTGCATCCAGCTCTGGGGGTCGCCAACACAGGACACTGATCTATTGGAATGAGTCCAGATGAGGAAAACCAGGTTAATCAGAGGGATGAAGCACCTGTCCTGTGAAAAATGCTGAGAGAACTGGGATTGTTCAGCCTGGAAAAGAGAAGGCTTTGTTGTGACCTAATTGTGGCCTGGGACCTGAAAGGAACTGAGAGGAAAGATGGGATAATACCATTTACAAGAGCATGGAGTGACAGACAGGGGAAGTGGGTTCAGATTGAAAGACAATAGGTTTAGATTAGACACTAGTAAAAAATGCTTTACTGTGAGGGTGGTGAGGCACTGGGACAGATTGCCCAGGGAAGCTGTGGATACCTGACCCTGGAAGTGTTTATGGCCAACTGGATGGGGCTTGGAGCAACTTGTTCTAGTGGGAGGTGTCCTGGTCTTCGGCAGGGGGACTGGAACTAGATGGCCTTTAAGGTTCCCTTCCACCCCAAACCACTCTAAGGTTCTATGGTAAGTTCCTCCAGACTTTGGGCAATCTAATAATGGACTTTGGTGAAATCAGCTTCGGGTCCCTAGATGGCTTAAATTGCAATGAAGCTTTTGTGCCGGGACTGCCCGTCTTCCTGGCAACTGGGCGGGGTTTCTCCGTGATTTTGCAGCTTCAGGTCTCCACCAATGCAGTGGAAACACAATTTCTCTGTGGCCTAGAAGTAGCAAAAGGTTAAATCGGTGAAATCGAGAGGCCACCAAATTGAGGACAGACACAGGAACAGGTACATTCGCTCTAGAACGGCGTGTTTCGAGCCATGTCCGCGGCAGGTGCAGCCGGCGTCCCGCAGCAGCGCGGCCCGCCGGCATTCCCAGCGCTGCGGGAATCCCTCCTCCCCCGGCAGCGCGCGTCACCCGGGCGGCCCGGCCGGCTGGGGCGGCTGCGGGGCGGGCAGGAGCGAGCGCGGGGCTCCGCAGCCCTCGGCGCGGTGGGGCTGGGGGAGCGGCGTGACGCCCCTCCGGGCGGCGCTCCGGCCTGACAGCTGGGTTTCCGCCTCCTTGCAGTGGCGGAAAATCCGATTATATGAGTTTCTCGCATTAAAACAAACAAATCCCGGGATACCGGGACGGTTAAGAGTGGAGGCTGAGGTCCTGTCCACGTGCCAGCGCCCTTCACACCCCTAAACCCACTTTGGTCTTGTTTTTGCCACCTCGTATTGTGGAATCTGCCAAAAGTGCAACTTTGTGTCTGCAGTTCTTCCTGCCTATGTTTTCGTGATTTCAGAGCAGAGCAAGTCGCTTGCGTAGAGCAGGGGGAAACATCTTAAACTGTTGTTGTTGTCTCACAATTCTAGGAGCGTGCAGAAATGTCTCCCTTCGAAAATAAAGGACTAATACTGGGCATAATGGCAGGGACTGCTGGATTAAGCCTGGTGCTGGTTTGCTACCGCAAGATCCGAAAGCCTGGTGCAGCTGTGCGTATTCGTGCGTTCCAGGATATAGGTAACAGAGTTAATTCAGTGGGCTTGCCAAATGAGGCTCCTAATGAACAAGGAGCAGTAATGGTTTTACATGGAAGGCAACTGCAAATACTAGAAAAATTGAATGGCCTGCTACTAAGCGTGGACGAACTGAAGAGAGAGGTGGAATTTCTGAAAGAAGCTATTCCAAAACTTGAAGAGCTTGTTCGAAATGAGCTTCAAGGAAAGGGTGATGTTCAGAGAGTTAGCCCATCGCACAGAGCAGCAAGGCGGAGAAAAGCAGAGACAACTTCTAGTGCAAGAGAAACTACCAGCTCTGAAGAGGCAGAAAGTGAAGGAGGGTGAGTTAATTTGTATACCCTACTGTACACATGCAGTGCAAGTTGCATCATTACCTATATGAAACTGTAAACAGGAGCCCTTTAAAAGTTTGTGAAGAGGCCTTTAAAAGTATAGATTTTATACTTCTGGAAAAATAATTGCAAACGTTCAGATGAATGGTTTTTAGATCAGAGAAGACTTTTGGTGACCATCTCTGAGTCTGCACTATGGCTGAAGTTGGCTTAATGCCAAGCATAATACAGATTCTTTTTTAAGAGTGTGTTTGGTAACACTGATGCAGTATTGCTACATAGGTATGGAATGAGAGGCAAAGTTCAGCATAATGGTGTAATTTTAAAAGTTCTTCTAGTGCAAAGTGTCTTTGACAGAGTTTGTTCAAACTGTATGAATGTTCACGTGCTTTTCCTGATAAATTGTTTTTTATTAGCCTCACAGATTAGTTATTACTGAGTTCTGCCTAGAGGCATTACATACTATGGAAGCTACATCTGAGCAGCACCTCTGTACAAGTGGCAATGGCTCATGTGTATGAGCTGTTGTATACACTTTTTGGTGGCTCAAAAAGTGACCGTGAGGAATTTAGGATCCTGACTGAGGTAGAAAGTTCCTAGTTATTTTGTAGTCACGTTATATTAATAGGGTCTTTTATTCTCATGAGTTGAGGAACATGTTGGGGAATGATGTATTCCAGGAGAGCACTATATTTTTGTCTTGACATTAATCTCCTGTAATTACAACTTTGTTTTGGTATAATCAGATTAGATACTTACATGCAATTCCCTAATACTATGTTTATAGCAACTGTTTTTTGAGCTACTTCTCAGTGTGTCTTACACGCCTGTGTAGGCAGCATTATGTCTGTAAACTGCCCATCTTATGTCACCTTTTCTCTTTAATAACTGTAATATTCTGGAGACAGCTAACATGCTGCATATTAATGGAATTCTATATTTAACAGTTTCTCCACATTCATTTTCAGTTACTGTGAGCAGACTTTCTGTCTATGTTACATCCCAGCCCACAGGGTTCCCAAGTCTTATATTTTGATGCCATATTTTAAGACTTGTCATTTCTATTATGAACCAGTTCTTTATTTTAAGTATTCAGGGTTGGCGTAAGTATTCAATGACAGTCCTCCTTCATCTGCTGTGGAAACATCTTGCTTCTCTTAGTTTCTTAGATTATTTCATCCATTGGTTGGTTTGCATAGGCCTTCATGTTATGAATAAAATATTCAGAGATGCAGATTAAGGCAAAGGGACCAGTTTAGGAATTACCAGGCCCACAGATGCAATGCAGGGGTTATTCCACAAGTAGCATTTGAGAAAATCCTGTTTTCTGATCAGGAGTGATGTGTTGCTGCTTGCAAACAAGCCAAGGAAACTTGTGTGTTCAGGTTCTTCCATGTGACGAAGGAGCTGATGCGGTGATCCAATACAAGTGATTATAGTGTGCAAGAGCATTGAGTGTGTCCTTAAGAGAGGCCTTCTCTGACAAGTATTTGTGTACAGTCAGAAGCAAGGAAGATAATTCAAGGTTATAGTTAGCATTAATCATTTGGCTATGTTCTTTCCCAGTGCTGTTTTTCAATCCCTTCTGGAAAGAGGTGGGCTTTTTCCTATTAACACATTGTACACGATGCGTTTGTTTTTCATATCTTCTCTAAATTTGAGGTAATTTCATTTCCTTTAAGTAAATAGGGTTTTTTTTCTTCTTCTTGAAAATAGATTGTAAATCCTAACGTGTACAGTTGCAACATATATAGCTTTTTCTGAGGTCTTCTGTAACTTTAATGACTGGTGCATGGCCTGGAGGGTCAAGAGCAATACATGGGTTTTTTCCAGTTACTCTACATCACTGATTCATATGCTGTAGGCATTGCACCATGTGCACTGTTTTATACTCTTCTGTGGCTAATTCCACACACAATGGTGCATTCAGGTGCTTGTTTTTGCTCTACAGGAAAAAAAATTTGCTCTTTGTTAGTGATAAAACTTTTTTCCACCTTTCTATACTCCCAGCTAAAGTGCATTGTGTTTTACTGCCTCAGCAGTAATTTCATGATGTAGAAGATAGGATTTTGCTTGAGTTAAGCACTTCTGTTTTTAATTGACAAATGGGTAGACACTGGGAATTGACAGATAAACTAATCTGAATAGTTTTATGGATTTGTGCTGGATGACTACATTGGTTTCAGGTTTGTAAACTTCTTCCAGAAAAGCTTTTAGTACTACCTAGTTTTTGGTTTTTTTTTCATTAAATATTGGGAGCTGACAGTCTCTGATAAGACCCTCACTGCTTTCATCTGCTCTGGGCATATTCTCAATGTCACTGTTGGTATTTAACACCTTGGGAAGAGAAGTTTTCTGTTTTGCCTTTCAAAAATTATGTATTTCTGTAAGTGGAGAAATGTCACGTGTTTTAATAAATGAGCTATATTTTTACATAATGACAGTCTGAATGGAAGGTGCCCTGAATTGATGAGACATTAAATGGTAAAGAGTCTGTGGTTTCTAACCTATGCTTCTCTGTATTCTATTTTAAATTTGTTTCAGTTCCTATAATGTCCTAGTGAAAACTTCAATGTTTAACATTTGAAAATGTGTAACAAGCACTCAGTTATTTACAAATGCAATAAATTGTGTCTAGATGATCACCTGGAATGGAACATGTCACCGAATTCTCCTCTTTGTGATTTTCAAGCTGTTTCCTCCCTGATATGGCAGTGATGAACCCTGGACATCAGTGTCATTTTGGAACCCGTCTTCAGCTGGCCCAGCATCCAAGCTCTTCAAATTGCATTTGGCATCAGCCACCAGAAAGAATCACTGCAGTAAATTCTTTTCTGACAGATGCTCTATTTATAATTTTTCCTTGAAATAGTTTAGTCAACAGGAAAAGAAATTTCCCTTGCCTGCTTCTGAGTATCATTTCACTTAGCATTTTCTAATTTATTTTGCTGTTCATTTATTTGAAATGCAACCTTCAGTTGGCTTAAGAATCCAGTTTGCCAAACCTTTCCTTGAAAGCCACTTATCATTACTGATGGATGTGCACTTTGCTGAATCATACAGTGCAAATTTGATCCAGATCCATCTGTGACATAAAATCACCTTTCTGTGGAATTAGCCAGAGCAGATGAGTGGGTGTTTGTGTCAGCTTGTGTTTTTCTTAGAAGGTGGCAGGGAGACAAGAGATTCTGTTTGATCTGTCTAAAAGCTGAAGTGTTGTGAACAAATGATACCTGGTTAGGCCCAGTGTCTGCCAATTTACAGACACCCCAACACAGTTTTTGAACAACCCAACTGTGTTTATACCACAGGGGTGTTTTATACCATGTAGCTTGTTTTAATCTGGTACTAGGTGCTGGGATTTATTGAACTGCTTAGCCACAGTGGGGTGAGTCTCCAGCACAGTTTCCATTTGTTCTTTGAACTTTGTACAGTCCATTGTGATACAACTCAGTCCTGTTGGTTGATCGTTGCTCCTCACATTCTTATCACTGTTTTTCTCTTTTATTTAAAATCTACTGGTAATAAAGGTGAAAACAAGTTGGCACTGACTCTGGACATTTTTTAAACATTCTTACGTTTTTCCAAATATTGATCAATGTGTTTATCACTTGTAAATCACTTTTCTGTTTATCATCTGATAAAACCTCTTGCAGGAAAATACCAGGTAAAATTGCAGATTTCTGTTGTATGGAATATTTGTAAAACAAACAATAATGACTATTCCTTGTTTTCTGTTGATTTCTTTTTTGGAGTAGTGTTATCAGTCCTTAAGGCCTGGAGTTTTTAAACTGTGTTAAGAAGAATCTCCACTTCTGTTTCTTTTAGAATGCATAGATGTATAGGACTGTTAACTGCTTTGTTGAAGGCAGATATTTTGATATATTCCTGTTGAAGGCAGGAAATTGAAATTTATGACATTCTAATCAACATTTAAGAGGGTCTGTTCCACATTTAAATTCTTTCAGGGTTCATAAAGCAGGTAAATAGAGGAGGTAGGAGAGAATTTGCAAGTATAGTGGAGATGAGAGGGAATAGGTAAGACATGACCCTGCTGTCTCTGCTGTTTTGTAATTAACTCCTTATGGGTTCACATGGTCTTTTAGATAGTGACCTACTTCACACTTCTTCTATGAGTCTCCCAATAAATATATGACTTACCTGATGTCATGTGAATTTGATGTTTGGCCTCAATTTGATGTTTTTTCATGACATTTGATATAGTGATGCTGGAAATCTCTGCTGGGCTTGTTTGGACTGACAGACAGCCCAATGGGCTTGGGTGTCAGCCTGGCCTTCTATTTGTCATCTGGCCATTATATTTTTGCTGGGAGAGCAGCATTTTCTAATAAGCATTTTTATCTGTTATCTAACACGGGAACAGTAGTGATCACAGACATTTTAGCAGATGTTTATGCAGCAGAGGTAAAGAATACAACGCCAACACTGACTTCCAAACACTGGTTCCTCACTTTCATATCTACCTGATTAGGTAGCATTTGATGCACTGCCCAAATTCCTGTAACTAAGGATATTGTCTTTACTGCTTAGTTGTTGCTCTTTCATATTATCTAGTGACCTTATTTTAGGTTGGGAATTGCCCAGATCCTCAGTGCATTTATCTTTTAATTAGGGGGAATGGAGCATCTAAATCATGTGAGGAAAGATACTGTCCAAGCATACTTCACATCATAGAGTTTTGTATTGGAGCTAAAAGATTGTCCCACTCCCCAAGAGCTCCCTTATACATTTGGTTAAGTTGGGGCTCTTAAAAATGCAGCCATGATATAGATCTGTGCCCACTTCAACATAACTATGAAAGAATGATACGCTGTATTTTTAAACATCCTTAAGAAAATGAAAATAAATGTTCAATGACTGAATATAGTCTCTGCAAGACACAGCATAGGATGTGTCATCAACTTCAGCATCATCAAGATTAAGTAAAACTCCTTAAGAAAATGAAAATAAATGTTCAATGACTGAATATAGTCTCTGCAAGACACAGCATAGGATGTGTCATCAACTTCAGCATCATCAAGATTATGTAAAATCTGTAGAAACATATGAAGTTTTCCATCTCTCTTCTGCTCAGTGAAGTTTTTCAGTTTGAACATGTACACATGTGTATACATGGTCTGTGTATATATTGTTTTATCCAAATGTATTTTTGACTCCTCTTTCTGGTGTCACTGGGTTAATTTTGCAGCAAAACTATCGTGCCACATCTAGCACTTCTGTAGCTTCATAAGCTACAGAATGTACTTGTTCATTTACAGGCTGGAAGTGTATCTGCTCTGCTACACTCATCTGTTCTGAAAGCAACATATTGAAAACAGAATATTTGAAAGCCATAATTAATAACCTTCATTTTGACTGCTAGCACTCTGTCCTGGTTATGTTTCTGAAAAAAGAAATAGATTTTTTTTATATTCTGACTGTCATGGTCTACTTCAATTATTCAGTTACTAAATGTGTGTAGTACATTCCATGCTATTTGTACTCATAGTAACCATTTAGAAGATCTCTGAACCTGGCAGCTGATAGGTTTACATTATTACTTCTCCCCAGAACAGTATTTTCAAAAGTGGAAATGCAGAAGATTAGGCTTCTCTGTCCGTTTTTAGTACATAAGTAAAAGGCTGCTTTTTAAAAACAGTGCCATAAGCTGCTCCTCTTTGAAATCAGAGCACCCTAATGTATTCTCAGCACTTTGGACAGTAAGGCCACCTGCTTATCTCTGTGTGATATTTATGCTTTTGCAAATATTTCTTTGCCCTTGACCGCCTTGTGCTGAGTACTTGTGCACTAAGCATCATGAATCAATATAAACTCTTTTCCAGTTTCAGATACTCTGAAATTCAGGATGCTCAGAAGAAATAAGGAATTTGTAACAATGGTGTTATTTTTATTGGCTTGTATTTAGATCTTAAAAGTGCTAAGAAAATACCGTATAAATGATTGTTATAGCACTTATATTTTGGTTAGTAAGCTCATTCCTTGTTCAAAAAATAGGGAAATTGAGGTAAAGAGTTGAAGAGGCCTATTCAGGGTTACAGAGCATGTCTTAAAACACATTAATGATTTCAAGTGTTCTGCATTTGAAACACAAGGCTACATGTGTTTCTAATATGTATCTGCATTTTTTAATGGAGTATTAGGCAGCAGTATAATTACTTACCTGTTATGTTTGGAATATGACTGTGCTATCCCTTTGAAGATAAAGGTTTTGTAATAATAACAATAAGCTTGATATTAATAAAAAATCCTTTAAAGTTGGACAACTGGGATAAACTGTACTCTGAAATTTTTGCTTTTTCATTTAACAATGCCCTTTTTTTCTGAAAGAAAAAAATGTTTCTTATTTTCTGTGATTTTAGTTACCTTACCGCTCATACTGATTCTGAAGGAGACTCTGAGGAAGAAAAGAGATGTGTGAAATCACCTGATGCCTTGGTGAAATCAGAAGAAGATGAAGACTTACTTAATTTTTTACAGCAGGTGGACAATTTGCACAAGGGTTCAGAGGATGATAAAAAAGAGGGCTTCAGACTGCTGACTGAGAAAGATGACAAGGTATTATGGGTAAACTTAATATTGTGTTGCTATTAACTTTACACTGCTTTTGAGAACTAAATACAAGCTTTAAAATGCACATAGAAATGGACTATGAAATTTCAAGCATATTTTTAAAATACAGTCAAAAAGCAGTATTTCAAAGTATTGTCAATATTCATGTTGTGTGGACATAGGAGTTCTACTATTTTATATCCCATTCTAATTCAATAACTTTGAGGCTTTGTTTGACAGGAATTCTTCCATAAAACAAAATAAAATCATGGGCTTTTTTCAATGTAAATTATACTTACTTCTGATTTTGGAATAGTCTGTGTGAGAAAATTCTGTAGAATTAAGTAGTAACCAGACCTACTGTTCTCAAACTGTGAGCATCTAGTCTGCTCATACCTTTCTAATACCATCCATGTGAATTTTTCCTTTGGCTTTACTGGGCCCATATGTAGCTTCAGATAAAATTTAAAGGTGGTTTGATGTGCAGTGCTTAATTCAGTGTACCATTTTATTCCATCTTGGCAAGCATTAGTTCTGACTGTATTTTCATCTGAATATTGGAATACCAAGGAAGGTAAATGAGATATTGTGAATGAGTGTGGTGCTTATGGCTTCCATAAAGAAAATACACATCACTTTGTTCAGGGATTTGTCATGCTTTGCTGGATTACCTTGTAAATGTTTATATTAAAAGAAGTTTAAACTGATTTATAAAATCATTTTTTAGACAGTCTTGGGTGTTTCCGAAAGCTGTATTCTCTTTTGTGCATGGAAGATTGGTCAATTGGTTCTCACATGAACTAAAAGTAGCATGTAGAAGGATGAAAAATTAACAAAAAAATTATGCCATCTTCTGATTACTTGCTTTAAGCATGTTATTAATTTTAAGCATTGTGAAAGTAAACTGTTTAAATCACATTCTGATCAGTTTAATTATGTAGCTGTCCTCTACTTCCAGTACAAAAACTGTGTGGACTTTCTTTGGAGGCTTGCACGTGCTTATGGAGATCTGTTTGAGATGACTACTGATGCTGAGGAGAAGAGGAAATATGTAACTGATGGTAAGAGGAAAAATGCTTATGAAGAGTGCCATATGAATGTAGTGATACATGCTTTGAAATTTGGTTAAGTTTTCCAGTATAAGGAATTTGCAATCCAAATTTGCATTTGTACTGTAATGATAATGTTTTGTGCAGTAAACCACCACATTTTGCAACTTCAGTTCATTCTTTCCTCAATGAGAGATCCAGAATCAGTGGCAGAGAAGTATAGTGGGTCATAATTGGAGGCTGTTGTCTCTGCAGATTGCCTTAAAATCCTGTATTTTGCTGAGAAACAGATGGATACAGAATGTGAAAACCCCCAGATGTTGTTAGCACAGTTTCTTAATTACATCTTTGGGAGAGCAAGAGGAATAAATAAATGTCAAGGCTGGGTCAGGGTTTTTTGTTTTTTGTTTTTGTTTTTCTGCTTTCCTGTGGTCAGGGAGCACTCCTGCATATCAGCAGTCTCTTTTGTGGTGATGGTGGGGATGAAACTGTTGACCAGAAACAGAAGTGGTGTGTTGACAATTGATGTTGCTTCCAGACATCTCTCCCCATGGGTCCTGTTTAACAATTTAATCTCTACAAGTTTTTAATTTTCTTCATCATAGCACCTTTTTTGGTTGCTTTTAAAATCATTGCCCTTTCTTTCACTGTCTGGATGGATATTGGCTAGAGGAACAGTTTGTTTCCCCTTTTATTTTGGGTCTTCTTTCTATTACATTAAAACCAACATCTCTATACTGTGTCACTCTCCTCCAGTCAAGGCACTGTTTTTAAAATAATCTTTTTTGCCTTTATCTCAGAGTACTTCTCTCTTTCTTTTGTCTTTCCATTGCCCCTTCCTTGCTGCACCAAATCAGGTTTTGTAAGTGTAACCCAAGTTTGGGTTATTTTGTCTTTTGTGACACCTCTCTTGACTTTTTGTTGTGTTGGCAGTGAGTGTCATTGACAAAGCAGTTTCAGCTGTCCTTTGTCATCCTTAAAGGCAGTGTGATGCCTTCATGCTGTTGTAACATATTCCACAGTCAGCCTCAGTTTGTTCAAGGTCCTTCCTTTTTCCAAGCCTTTTGTCATCTAAATACTCCTGAAGACTTGCACTGTCTTAGCAACTTAGTTGATACTGTCTTTGCTTTAGTTGCAACTTGGCTTTGTACATAAATCCTACAGTGCAGTGAGGATTATGACACAAAGTAAATGAACACAGTAAATTCTCTTGCTGGATCCTTTGCTTTTACCAGTGACTGGACTTGAAGCTGGCCAGGACTGTGGGGGACAATAAGGAGTTTTTTGAAATGTATTAATGGCAATAGGCAGTGTAAAAATAACATCAGCCCATTACAGGGTGAGGGTGATCACCTCACAAAGGAGAACATGGACCAGGCAGAGATGTTTAATGTATTCTTTGCCTCCGTCTTTAACACGGATGATGGAGCAAGGGGTTATCAGTGCCCTGAGCTGGAGTACCATGGCTGCAAGAATTATCAATTCCCAGTCAACCTGGAAATTGTGTAGGATCTGCTGCTTCAGCTGGATTCCTAAAAATCTGTGGGGCCTGGTGGGATTCATCCAACAATCCTCAAAGAACTAGTTGGTGTAATCTCAAAACCTCTTCTGATGATTTTGGAGCAGTCTTGGGAATCTGGAGAGGTCCAGCTGACTAGAAGCTGGCTGACATTGTCCTGATTTTCAAAAAGGGCAGGAAGGAAGATTCTGGCAGCTACAGGTCTGTCAGTCTTACTTCAGTGCCTGGTAAAGTTATAGAGAAGATTATTCTGGAAGGTATAGAAAAAAATCTGGAGGACAATGCATCTGGTCACAGCCAGCACAGCTTCATGAGAGGAAGCTACTGCTTATAAAACATGATTTCCTTTTATGACAAAGTGCCCCACCTAGCTGATCAAGGGAAACCAGTTGATACAATATTTTTGAATATCAGTAAAGCTTTGGATACTGTCACAGGATCTTTCTGGACAAAATGTCCTGCACACAGCTGGATAAACACGTCATGGGATGATGTGGCTCACAGGTCAGGCACAGTTACAGTGAATGGTTACAGTGAATGGGGTGACATCAGACTGGGGCCCTGTCACTAGAGGGTTCCACTGGGCTCCATTCTTGGCCCTGTGCTCTTCAACATCTTCATAAATTACTTGGAGGCAGGAAAGGAAGGAATACGGAGCAAGTTCACAGACGATAGAGAACTGGGAGGAGCTGTTGAGTCCCTTGAGGGCAGAGAGAACCTGCAAAGAGACCTCAACAAGTCAGAGAGCTGGGCAACCACCAGCTGTATGAAGTTCAATAAGGGAAAGTGTCAGATTCTGTACCTGGGATGGGACAAAACTGGATGTATGGACAGGCTGGGGAATGAGATGCTGGAGAGCAGCACCCTGAATCCTGGTCCCTGGCAAGTTGAACCTGAGTCAGCAGTGCCCTGGCAGCCAGGAGGGCCAACTCTGTCCTGGGGGGCATCAGGCACAGCATCACCAGCCAGGCAAGGCAGGGGATTGTCCTGCTCTGCTCTGCACTGGGGTGCAGTTTTGGGTGACACAATGTAAAAAAGACACTGAGTTATTGGGGTGCATTCAAAGGAGTGTCATGAGGATGGTGAAGGGCCTTGTTGGGAAGCTGCATGAGGTCACTTGTTCTGTTCAGCCTGGAGAAGAGGAGACTGTGGGGACCTCATTGCAGCTACAACTCCCTCGTGAGGGGAAAAGGAGGGGCAGACTGATCTCGGTGGTGCCAGTGACAGGACCAAGGGAATGGATTGAAGTCATGTTAGGGGTGGTTTAGATTGGATATTAGGAAAAGGTTCTTCACCGGAGTGTGATTGAGCACTGGAACAGGCTCCCCAGGGAAGTGGTCACAGCACCAGCCTGACAGAGTTCAAGAAGCATTTGGACAATGCTGTCAGGCACATGGTGTGACTCTTTGGGGTGGTCCTGTGCAAGCCAGGAATTGGATTCAGTGATCTTTGTAGGTCCTTTCCAACTCAGCAGATTCTGTGATTCTGTAACTGCATGTAACCTCAGCTGATGAATGATAGCAAAAACCAGGGAGAGATAAAGAATGATGGAATGAAAGTGAGTCTTAGGTGTTGAGTAACCAGCCTAGTTTGGCTCATTCTCATGAAGTGGGGGTGGCGGCAGACTTTTTCATCTCAGTTTTTGGAAGTGCTGCAGAGGGCTTGAGACTGCAGGAGAGCTGGCAGTATTTTCATGGTTATTTTTCATTCCACTGGGTAGGAGGACTGTGTATGCTATTCTTTGTTTTTATGAAGTTAACTTACAATACAGAAATGTCAGTGCAGTTTAATTGGTTGCAGCTGAGACTCTGCAAACAGCAAGCATCTCATCTGAACTTCTTACTGGGAGCGTGGGTTTGATCAAATCACCTGCTGTCATCTTTATTCAGTTAAAAGTGGAACTTAAGGGAAGGCTTTGTGCTAGAAAGAAACTTCAACTGGTTTATTCCTGTACCCAAGGCACTGAAATGGCTTTGCTGGTTCTTCTGACAGATGCTTGTCCGACCCGCTTTTAAGGCTCTTCGGTCTTACAGACATGACAGCCTCCTTTGACAGTCTAGTCCAATCCTTCCTTGAGTTAACTGCATCTGAACTGGATTTTAAAGGAAAATACTGAAACTGCATGTATAGTTGATATATACTTGTATGTAAGTGTTTGACTATGTAAATGAAGTAAAGCTAGGATGATGTTCATCTAAATGTTTCTAAGAACACGAAGCAATTTCTTTGCTGCTGGAATAAATCAGATTGCTTTGTTCTTGGGTGTCACCTGAAATGTGGAAGACTACTATAAATCCTTTAATATATTGTACTCCATTTACAGGAAAGATTAAAGCTGAACAGGCTATTCAGCTGGATGCTGGGAGTGCTGAGAGTCACCAATGGTAAGTTTGAGAAAGTTTTTACAAAGTTGTGTACATTTATTAAGTTCAAGAAAAAAAAACCCAGTCTGACATCAGTTTCATAAATTAGTCATTACTATTTTTTCATAGTTTTATGAAATTCAACTATTACCAGTTGTTGCTAAGAATTACATTGAAATATTCTGTGAAGCATTTACTATAGCATGTGAAACAACTCAATAACCATACTTCAATAAGTGCCAAGAAATGTACATAAGAGTATTTGCTTAAGCCACTATTTTGTTTCTTAGAGAAGCCATAGTTTTCCATTTAGCTTCCCATTCAATAATTCACAAAATAAGGTCATTTGACCTTGAATTTTGTCCTTTCCTTTTCTTGTAATAGTCTAAATTGTGATAATTAAAAACAGATATAGAGGACTATGGAAATTTTAGTTAACTTCTCATTTTATGTTTTATCATACAGTTTTTCTCCAAGCGTGACTCTTAGTTTATTTTTGTAGACCTTGCCAGAACTAACAAACTTTGCAAATGTAAATATTTTTTTATCAAATCAACATTATCAGGTAAAAGATAATTCTGCTGAGTTCTAGCTGATAGTTCCTCACCTTAGTATTTTATTAGTAAATTTTACTGTGCTCCTGATTTCTTTTCTAATATTATTAGCTTTTCCTTTCCGTTTTGCTTTCTGCATTCTTCATTAATTTTCTTTGCACTTGTGGGATGGGATTTCACCTAAATTCTGCATATCTAAAACAAATACTTTTACACCAGACTCCTTTCACAATCTGAAGAAAGCAGCCACTTCTGGAGTGCAGTTCAGTGGAGTCAGTTTTGCTCATTTAGTCTTGCATGAGGGTGAGATGAATTTCTCCTGGGGCTCAGTTGACAACATCTCCATTGCCAACAAAGGGAGCACATGTCAGCTATCTCAGGTTTAGATACTTAATTAGACACAGACATTATCATTTAAGTAGGTAATTCTCTGTCTTGCTTTCTCTCTTTCTGAAAGCAATTTAAAGCCATTTCTGCTCTTTTTTTCACCACAGTCATGACCACTTCCTCAGAGTAACGCTGGTGTACTCCTCTCAGCTAGAACTGTGTGTGTAAACAACCACAAAATCACATTCAAGTATGAATCTTGCCTCTCCCTTCCTCCTCAGCCCACAAGACTGACAAAATATTCTAGTATAAATACAGCTTTACTGGCAGAAACGATGCTGATAAACCCTTACATATTGTGCAGGGAGATGTAGGTGGTCTGCTGGACTTCACATGTGAGATCCTGTCCTGGCAGGAACATCTAGCAGGGGAAGTTATGAGTGTAAGGAGATGTGTTCCAGAGGTTAGCTCAGAAAGCTGATTTGAGAGGTTTAAGAGGAAAATCTTACATTCTTTAAGCTACTGATTCTTGTAACAGGCAGTGGATTTCTGTATGGTTTGCAGTTTTCATCCTTCATCTATCTGGGTTGCAAGTGAACATGAGGTTTTTATCAATTATTGTTCAACTGATGTCTTTCTAGAGGTATAGATAGACATTATATATTAAAATAGTTCACTATCTTTTTTTTTTCTGAATATATTATCTGCTTGTCTTTATTTTCTGACATCTTTCTGACTTGCTGCATGATTTTTAAAGTGCGATGTAAGTGTAATGGTTGTGCCAATCTAACTGAGGCTCTAAATACTGGGCAGAGTGGACTTTCATGCTCCAGAGGGACATTGGTATGTTTTTGTTTAGCATAACAATAGCTGTTCAATCTGTGGTCCTAGTAGATATTTTTGTACTGTGCTGCTACTTAACCAGTTGGATTTGTTTTGTAACTTTTTTTTTTAATTGTTTTATTCTATTTTATTCTTTATAAAGTATTTTACACACATTTAATTGATTTCGTGTTTATTTCTGAGGTTTGAGGCCATTTGGGTTTGTAAATGCATCCCCTCATGGGTTAACATTTTATTTCAAAAGTGGTTTTTTGTTGTATGGGCTTTTTAAAATCATTAACTTAATTAACGAAATTACTGGAATATAAAATGGACCCAGCGCTAAACTTTGGCTGACACCCATAGTGATGCTCAGGTTCACATGAACCTGATTCTGCAGCCATCTCTACAGGTGATTTAATTTAAATATTTCCATGGTTATGTTTTGAGGAACATCAGGCAGGACAAAGTCAAAGGCCACATGAACAAGGTGTATCTCATTTCTTGCATTCCTCTTACCCGGCTTTTTTATTTTGCCAGAATTCTTCTTTTATCCTGTTTTTTCACGAAAATCTGGTATATTTTCATAAAAATCTGGTGTTAACTGTTTTGTATGCTTATGCACTTCCAGAATAATTTATCCTGTATTGTTTTCAGGGTAGGCTGGTTTGCCAGTAACACTTCTCCCTGGTAGCAGCTATGTTTGCCTTTTTGCTTGCTGTTGGGGCTTTCTGCATTACTCACAAGACTTCTGTAGTCAGCTCTGTGGTTTTTTTTTTTTGCCAGAATTTTTTTTTTTTCCTGGTTTTTTTTTTTTTTTTTTTTTTTTCATAAAAATCTGGTGTTAACTGTTTTGTATGCTTATGCACTTCCAGAATAATTTATCCTGTATTGTTTTCAGGTTAGGCTGGTTTGCCAGTAACACTTCTCCCTGGTAGCAGCTATGTTTGCCTTTTTGCTTGCTGTTGGGCACTTCCAGAATAATTTATCCTGTATTGTTTTCAGGTTAGGCTGGTTTGCCTGTAACTCTTCTTCTCCCTGATAGCAGCTGTGTTTGCCTTTTTGCTTGCTGTTGGAGCTTTCTGCATTACTCACAAGACTTCTGTAGTCAGCTCTGTGCCATATCTATATTGTTTGAGTCTGGTCTAATGCAAATTTTTCCAGTTTATCTAAACATTATTTCACATGATAATGCCCATGAACTAGAAATGAGACTTCAGGGAATCTTCCCTCTAAAAACTGTGCTCTCAAAGTTGTACACAAACAATATTTTATTTGAGGTTATAAATAGGAAAGACTGTGTATAACCAGATAATGGTGCAATACAATTAAGTTATGGATAAATAATATGTGAAAGTATTATGAAATCCATAGTTAATAAGAATATTTGTAAGAGAGAAAACAACATAAAAGAAAAAAAATAGAACAAATATTTATACAAGAAGATGCTAGGATCACTAGTGGATGGTCACAATCAGGGCAGTTCCCAGCTCCAGATGGACAGCTGGATGTTCTGTCTCTGTCATGTGTGCCTGCGTGTGAGCAAGGGCCTGCTCCTGCACTTATGGGGGATGGAGAGTTGAAAGGCAGCATGTGCCATTTGATGTGCCAGGGTATTTGTATGGCATGACAGATATCACACAGGACCTTTGGGGTCTCTACACTACCAGGCTATCATCCAGAAGTGGTGAGAAACCCTAGGGCATCTCCAGTGGCAGTAGGCACCTGTGTCCAGGCAGGGATCCTGTGAATTGAACAGGGTCTCTGCTGGCTGTAATAGGAGATTAGATACACAGATGAGAAGGTCAGCATGAGTGCAAGGTCAGTGTGAAAGCAATGCTGTCTCAGACCAAAATCCTTCCTTTTCATCTCACTGCCAACATAATGTTTTCTAAAGCTGTGAGGTAAATAATCCTAGCCTATGTAAGGTGAGCCCATCTGTTTGTTGCATGTAAGGCTATGTCAGTCTTTATCACCTATTGAAGACCAAGCTGGTTTTCTGACCTTGACTGAAGTTTTAGAAAGTTTTTGTCGATTTCTTACTAATTTCTGAGGGGGGTTTGGTATTTCCAATCAGCACAACTGAGGTTTTCACTCACGTTTGGTAAAGCTGCTGTGTTGTCCACTCATACATTATTTCTAGTCTTCTCTTAAACTGTTTAATATATTATGGCTTACTAAGTGAGTGAGGATTAAATGATAGCCTATTCTTTTCCTGGTCCTACCTTGCTCTCTACTTACAGTTAACCCTTGTGGAGCAGGTGGGATATAAGTGAGTAAGAAATTGAATTCAGCCTCATTGGTTTCATCTTTTGCCTTTATTTCCTCATTGCTAATTGTTCTGCACTTTCATTTCTGTTTTTTTTTTTCCTTCTGGTGTATTTATGGAAACCTCTTCTTATTGTCTTACCAATATCCCTATACTCTTGTTTTCATTTTTAGACTAAATTTCTTTTGGTTTTTAAGTTAGTTGAGAATTCCTCACTGGAGCTGAATTGATCTAAAAATATTCCCTGCTATGATTAAAGGGTCATTTGCAGTTGTGGTGTTGAATATTGTCTCTTATTAAATCTTCTAGAGAACTTTTTCTAATATTTAGAAATACTAGAAAAAGGCATTTCTTAAAGATTTATTTTTTTCCATTAAAAATGTACTCTGTGCCTGTCATGCAATGCTTAGGTCTATAGACCCGTTTGGAAGTTTCTTTTGGAAGCTTATCCCTGCTGCTAGAAAGCTCTATTTACCAAATAAACAAGTTCTTGTGACACCTTGACACACATAATTGTCCTAGTGTAGACAGAGTTATACAAGCAAAAACATCCCTTTTCTGGAGCAGGTATTTTTCTGTGTTGTGGAACTGCTGTAAGGTAGCTGCAAGACAGAGCACATTTTTTGTGTCCACTAATGGAATTTAGTGGAATGGTTCCATGAGCAAACTTGCTAATGTAGGCTTAGAGTTCAGCTGTATTGCCTTACTTTTGATATTTACTTCAGTTAAGAACAAAAAGATGCCATATATCCTCTTAGTGATATCACCTATATTTTTCTGTAAAATTGTATGATAAAATGATCAACACTCCAACTGTTCAGCTTACTGATTAGAATACTAACAGTATTCAGCCTCAAATTAAATTTGAGGAAACATATGCAGAACAAAGAAAGCTGAATATCTTGAAGTAGTCAGTCGGTTTTGGTAATGAATTGCAGCTGCAAATAATTTTCATATCTGAATCCAGATTTTTGAAAACATGTGATAATACTTAATCTCATAGTTGCCAATGAGATCAAAAACCTTCAGATTTTTTGAATGTTGACCTC